GATCGACAATATTATCGTTTATCGCGATAATTTCTTGGACAATTTATCGTCCAGCAAAATTTGTTATCGTGACAGGCCTAGGTGGAATTAAATTTTGCTGTGGTATACCCGAAATACAATGGTGTCTGGTAATACTGCTAAAACCTACAGAAGTCCAGAGAGGACACTCTTCAATATTTTTTCCTTCCCTTCATCTTGAGATCACGACTTATCTTGAGATCATGAGAAAACTAATGCGTGATCTTGACAAAAGCTGATATCTTTTATTTTTGTTTTACTGATGTGGTGGCATAGATGCTTGCTGCTCACTGTGTACGACACAGCGTCAGCATACAGTACAATGCTGTCGAACTTCCTATTCACCTCTGTCAATGGTGGAGTTGGCGAGGGGGAGGGTGGCAGACACAAGTAAATTTAAAGGAAACTTAAATACAAAGGTCTGTGTTTTGGGAGAGATGATTAAAGTCAAATGAAATATTAGGGGGTTGGTGGGGGGAGGGTTAGTCATTTTGATGCTCCTGAACCCTATAACGAAGGTTAATAATAAATCTTACTCAAAAGGCCTATTGTTTCTGTCTGTTACTAGTACAGCTCAAGTGAGTAGTAATCATTGGGCTATCTAGTAGTCTGTGATTATGTCCTTTTGATTACAGGTCAAATATTACAATTGTTTATCAGCTCAAAGTTATCTCATTGGAATGTTCCCTTTTACTGGAAAATTTATTTAAAGCTGTGACAAACACCAATATGATAATTGTCTTGCACTGACAGACATACTGCCATTTCTGCTTATGACAGTCCATAATCAATGTAAAATCGAATGTATTTCTCCATGATGATAATGTATTGCCTACTAAGCTCCTAAACCTATCATGAGATTGTGGGATAATGGAAGGAAAAAAAATTATGATGATGCGTGTTCTCTCTGGACTTCTGTACAAAGCTACCAAGATATTTTAAAACGCACACAGTACAGCGCACTACAGAGCATACAAAGAAGGGCTGAAGACATCGACATTCGTCACAAATGATAAGATGGCAGTTGGCTTCAGAAAGAACACATTATTCATACAGGATACTCGTTTCAAGCAAACACCCCTTAGTGTTATATGTTTCTCCAGATGACTGTGTCCAGCTCCTCCTACGTTAGCAGCAGGCAGCATGATGTGCTAGTATTCATTTCAAAGTACTTTCATTCCTTTCTGAAACATACTTTTAATATTTGTGCACAGCGTGTGGGCCAGAAAAAGGAGTAAAGGGGCTGCCAGTTGCCTATCCCTGCATTACTGGTTTGCCGATAAGATTATTTATATACTTGAAAGGTAGATTCAGGCAGTGTGTAATAACCTTTTATGGAGTCATTGAGCAGCATTTTGCTGACAGTTTAAATTTGTACCAAGTATAGTCTGACTCAGAAAACTCATGCAGTTCCCTTTCATCTCACCAAACAGGGGAACTATGTGAGGTATTTGTTCGCCGATTACAGTTCTGTGTTTTCCTGAATAATCCCAGTCAAAGTTGTAAGAAAGCTCAAGGACTTGAGGCTGAAGGTCACCCAATGAGGTGGTGCTAAAAAGGTTGTGAATTTATTTGTTTATTAATTTCTGCATAAATAAATCATGATCAGATTTTCATTTAAGTTATAAACTAGATCAAGAGAACCCAATTATACAAATGACAAAAAAATATGTACTTGATCCTTGATCCAATGTTACACAGTGCTCACAGAAAGTCTTTGGGCACTTGTTTAATTCTATGAAAATGCTGCAGATTTATTGGTTTCAGACCAAAAGTCCATTGATAAGCAATGTTTGACATATCTACATATTTCTTCCACACGGACATTTTTGTCATAATTTTTTGACTGACTCGTTTGGTTCTACAGCTATTTTGCTATGAATTGCTATTGTGTCCCCCGCAAGGTAGAAAGTTGCAGGTTTTTAAAGGAAGGACGTTGGGTTCCCACATTGTAATAATTACAAAACCACACAAACACACACATTACCACAGTTCAAGTATCTTCCATGTAATCAAGTTCAAAGTCATTTTAATTTGCATGCACTGATTTTATTATTTTTGCTTGAAGAGAGTGCTTGCATTGTGCAGAACAGGATTACTCCATGTAAACAGGCAACTAATCCTATAGCCTAGACCATTATCAATGTATGCCTGTAATAATGCTGCATGGCCTTTATGTTCTACCAGATAAGTCCTCAGTCTCAGGTGTATGTTACTCATTTCAAGGTCTCCCTATTTACTGCCTCCTGATTACCCGTAAAGTTAAAGGCCTTGGTTCTGACCTCAGAAGGAACAAAAACGTGTATGTCTGATCTGTTCTGTGTTGTAAACAGCACAGCTCAGGAGTCCAGCAGACACCAGATTAGCTTTTGCTTACTGGTTTCCTTATCACTCTTTGCTTAACTCTTATTTTTTGTCACGCATAAGTCAAAGGTGATGATGTAATTATGATAATTTCTTTGGATAAAACTTTTATGATGATGAATATGCAAAAATTATGCAAAAATATGGCTTTAAAATCATTTTATATATTTTATGCATACATTTCCCATTCAAAAATTATTTTTGAAGCTAAACATGTGCATGAATACTTTATTATATGTATTTGTATGTATATATT